CAGTGTCAGTGTGGCCCTGCCCTCTGCAGACCTCGGCTGGGTGTTTCCTGAGCCGGGACTCCTGATCATAGACATAAATACATAGATGCCTCGTTGAGCGGGCTGGCCCACTGCAGTGCTACGTCAGCGCGTCCGCCATATTGGATGTGGCAGGTCTGCCGGTCAACTAATACAAGGAAATGGACTGAAGTTCATAAAGCACCGTTCTACAAAGTGTTTTATGTTAATCCCTGTCATTCACACACTCATATATCTGGAAAACAAACAGACACCAAATACAACATTTATAACTTTTAACATGATTATTAAAAATGTTTACTCCTTAAATATGTAGGTTAAAGGTAAACACTAAACCAACAGATGTATTCTTTTAATGTTTACAACTACTAACGTGTGTAACACTATTACTGTGGTGATAAATAGAGAAATATTCATATTTAACATTTAATCTATGTCTATAATAACCAGATCTGAAATGTGACGTGTGGATTTTCTGAATGAAGAACACCAACTGTCCCCCTCTTACAATGCTGTGATTGCTAGTATCACTCAGCCCTCTGTGAACAGTAAACAGCCATCAGGTGCTAATGATCCATTGTTAGGCTGATGGTCCTTCTTGAGCATGTGATCAGCTGGTTCTGGTTGTCAGCAGCAAACTGGTTGATCCACTCTGGTGTTTATAAGACTGAGCTGTGACAGATCGACTCTTGATCTGAGATTATAACAAATTATCTTCAGAGTTAATGCTAATTATCATAAACAAATAATCCTTACTGACACATCCATCCATCCATCCATCCATTATCTTTACCCGCTTATTCCATTTTGGGTCACGGGGGTCGCTGGTGCCCATGTCCAGCAATCACTGTGCGAGGGGCGGGGGACACCCTGGACAGGTCTCCTGTCCATCACAGGGACACATAGAGACAAACGAGACAAACAACCATTCACTCTCTCACTCACACCTAGGGACAATTTAGAGTTACCAATCAGTCTAACATGCACATGCGCGTAGCCAGGGGGGGTTCGGGGGGTTCGAACGAACCGCCCACTTTGCCAATGAAGTCCCACCTTTTAATCTTACTCTATAGTGTCATTTTTTTATGTGTAGATGTGGATTGTATTGTATTTTTCAATTCATTAATTTCATTCATAAAAAACAATGTCTAACAAAGCAAAGTAAAAAGATGAGTTATTTTTGCAATTGAAGTAATGTTATTATTTGCGGGCTTAGTTTGCATTTATGTTGTTAGAGTTAAGGAGTGGTACTGTGCCTTTAAGAGGATGACGTCTTTCATTCTTCTTCGGTGTTTTTTTTTTTTTTTTGTGTATGTTCGGGCGGGACTCGGGAGTACCGAAGTGTTCGTTCGTGTCTGGGATGAGTTCTGAATAGAAGACTGGACACACACGCTATTCCCCTCTCAGTGTGTTGCTCTTTCTCCACTCACAACCGCCTATTTGGTAACACAGATTTACCTCACACAGCAGTGTTTTAACTAGCTAGCTAATTAGCTTGTTTACACATTTGAAGTTATGTGTACCACCGCCAATGAACCAATCAGAGTAGTCCTACAGGTCCACTTTTTCTTCAAACGAACCGCCCCTCATAAAATCCTGGCTACGCCTATGATGCATGTTTTTGGTCTGTGGGAGGAAACCGGAGTACCCGGAGAAAACCCACGCATGCACGGAGAGAACATGCAAACTCCACCCAGAAAGGCCCCTGGACTGGGGTTTGAACCAAGGACCTACTCGCTGAGAGGCAGCAGCTCTACCAGTTGCACCACTGTGCTGCCCTTACTGACACATATATTATACTATTGTATCTGCTACAGGCTACACCTGGCAGAGAAGCCACGTCGCCTCCCACCAAATTGGGGGGCCTTAACTGGGAGCAAGGAGCATTGTTAGAAATTCTTAGGTGGTGGTTTTGACTTTTTTCCAGATGTATCGAGCGGACCTCACCCTGTCTTGGGGTACCTGGGGGTTGTCCATTTCTGGAAGACCAGACCAGACCCTCAGTCAGGGGGGAGGTTGGAGACGGACCAGGAGAAGATGAGGGCCCGTGACGGAGGGATCCTTTGGTCAGAGTCTACGATGTTCTGACCACATGACTGTTAGATCAGAATGAACGTCCTGTGCTTAGAAGCTTTTGCAGCTCTTAAATCAAGACCTAACATATATAT